CTTTCTGCGTATCGAGAGGCACTGCGACTACGCCCAAAGTACACTCGAGCAATGTACAATGTAGGCGTCGCATGCTTGAACTTGGGTGCTATGAAAGAGGCAGCAGAGCACTTCCTCACAGGGCTGGCATTGCAAGGACAAGATGGTCCAGTAGGGAGTGGGGAATTGAAAAGGAGTACACAGCTCTGGGCTACCCTCAGAAGAACACTGGTCGCAATGGTGCGCTCATCCCTCTCATTCTCTTTACAGAACATACTCCTGATGCACTTTTTATAGGATCGTGCTGATTTGGCGGACAAGGCTCGGGACGGAAACTTGGAACTATTTAGAGCCGAAGGATTCGATTTCTAAAATACAGAAAAAGCGTTAACAGATGAAAGAATCTTTTATTTGCTAACTTCTACGTCAACCGGTTATAATACCATCGCTTGCTATGTATTGCAGTGTATTGCCTGAGTTGGGGCCAGTTCAAACGTTTCCATTCCATCCCCAGGGACTGGGCATGGCACCATGTTCACCAGCAATCCTCTCTAAGTCAACTGCCTGGCGAACTCCGCTAACTGTTTGATAATTGGTGCCTCCAATTGGTTCCCCGCACTCATTACAACGTGAAACCTGGTTTGCACCTCCACAATTCGCAATTGTAAAGATATGCCCATTCACGCAAGTATACCAATGACCTCTGTGGGCTAGTATGACGCATAAGAAACTTGAAAGGAGACGATCAGATCACGAGAATAGGACTCACTATACTCCGCAGTAAATGAGGCGATTACAGATCGTTTCTCTTCCTCAGTCACGGGTTGGTAAAAGACTGAAGGTCGATCCAAGGTCAAAATGAGTTCTTCCCACTGTTTGAGGACCTCTGAGAGTGGTTCCTCAAACTCATCTTGCACAACGGAGGAAGGTAAGTTCACATTTGCGTCTCGAGCCTGAGCAGCCTCTTCTTTTGTGTTCAATAAGTAGTTCTCGACTGTCTTTGCCAACTTTTTTCGCCCTTCAGGACTAAGGCCTTCCTCTTCGACCTGTTTGGATATGACTAGGAACTGTAGAGATCTCCACCATCGCAAATCCACGTGGATCCTTTACTATCGCAATCGAAAAGACTCGAACGATGGAACAAAACCGGAGGA